TTTCAATATAAACTGTTCTTAAAAGAAGACTGTCAACTCAGAACTGGTCTGTTTTTCAGAAGTTTTCTTCCAAGATGTTTCAGTACATGAGTCCCTGGGGCAATGCTTATTCTTTTGTCACAGTTCTTTACTTATTTTTCAGTGCTTTACCTTGCCCTGCTGCAGCATCAGTCTCTACACAAGTTCAGAGAATCAGGAAACAAGGAGGATAAGGGGAAGTTGACAGCCTGAAAAGCACTATCAAAAGATGAAAATAAGCCAGTGGAGCTACACACAGAACTAAAAAGGTATATTATCTTTTGGTTCTCAGTGCCAGGAATAGTTAAGAGAAAGAGAGAACCGTGTAATGATGTTCTTACAATTTAACACTTAATTATAACAAGTTCTATAAAAAAAGAGGAAGGATGGGCAGAACGAAAAATTATCTTCTGAGATTAAAGTAAGAAAATGACTTTTTATAAAGAAAAACATTTTTAAAAATACAAAAAAGTCAACCAAAATAGGAGTGCAATTTGTTGTGGAACAGTTGTACAACACAGCTCCTCTGTCTTCTTGGCACTCAGAAACAAACATTTGCTACGAATACCATGATCCAAAGCCAGGATAAGCTGCCAGAGATCATTACACTGACTTCAGTGGATACTGCAGGCCAAATGGGGAAAGCAGTGCTTGAGGCCACCAGACAAGTATTGTAGTGTATTTTATTACGTTGCATTTGTTTCAGCAGGCCTACCCTGCTGATAGGATTGGTGTAGCTGGGCCCTTCTTTCTGCAGGAACCCTAAATGATACCAACACAAACTTTTCAGCACACTTTCAGATGCTACAAAGCTGTGGCCTGAGACAGTAGAACAGGATGGAAAGTCCTCCAAACTGAAGGCTCCTAGAGTTTAGGATATGCTGCTTACACCAGGTGTGAGATCAATAAGAATATAGATGTTGTATAGTATTGTACGATCAATAGGCAAGCAGAGAAGTTAGGGTGGTAAGATTATCACATTGGAAAAAATAATCAGAGATAAATGAAAAGTGCTTACCAGTGTTGTAGGCTCACAAGAAACTCCACACCAAGCAATCTCCAGAGAGAGATCCTTCCTCAGTGGCAGTCAGCCCTTAAATGGGGTCCATGGCTGACTCAGTGCTCACCTCAGGTAATCAATCAGAGGTTCAGGCTGTGATTCAACGGTTCCCATACAACCAGATTTATCTCAGCACTAGTTACATGACTAGCATCACATCAGAAAAAAAGCTCAGACTTTCTAATTCTGACTGTGCTGTTAGTTTTGCCTGGAGTTTTACAAGTTTCACTGTGTGTTTATCCAACTGTTTCTGATGACTTTCTTGGAAAGCTATTTGCAAGGATGGAAAATCCCTAATTCTTCCTGATTGTTGCAATAGAGTCTAGATGCCTGGAAATTTGTGACTGACAAGTCAATACTTGTATAGCTAGACCTCTATAAATAGGGAACACTAGCTATTATCATGTTCTGCTAAGCGGGAATTCACTTCTTGAAAATACCAGCCAGGAATCATTCTCTATGCAAATGCACAGAGAGGAGTGAAGAGGTAGAACTGCTAACACACATACAGGCAGATACATCTGCTGTGAAACCCTTTCCCTCATCTCAGCTCCTTTTTAGCAAACAACTTTAGCTGTCTAACTTTAGATGACGAGTAGGCAGAAGCACCCTTTGGAGGTGCTGGTGTCTCCCATTGACTCAGCAGGATGACTAACCTCCATGCTGGTGTATCTTTCCCCTCCCACTGTGCCAGACCCACACTGGGCAGTTCTCAGCACACAGCAAGGAACTCGCATGCTGCCCATATATCACCCCTAGCATCTGCTGTGATCTTAAAACACAATTACAAAATTGTTATTTGACAAAGGGTGCGCTGCTTAAAATGGCAGCCAAAGTAAAAGCTTGGGACACTGCTCTTTTCCTCCGCTTTCTTTTTTTCTGATTTGTCTTCCCAGCCCTTCTAATTGTTGCCTAGTATTTGGCAGTGCAGTAAAACCTGCTGTTGCTAGAGTGTTTGAAAAAATAGGATAACCTTCTGTTATACTTTATACTGGTTCCATTCGTGAAGATTGGAACTTTCTGTCTTGCAAAGGCAATGAGCTAATATTCCTGAGATACTCTACTGTTCCATAGGTGTGGAAAAAGAAGCCTAATCAAACCGAAAGGAAGTTTTTTTTAATGGAAAACATATTCCAGCTTTAACGACACACTAGGATTTTGTTCTGGTTTCTTTATTGCAATGACTTATGATGTGCAAACTTCACATGTGCTTGCTTAAGTCATGTGTCTGCCTTATTTTAGCTTTGAAAATAACAGCGATGCCAATATTCTTTACTGTCATACTGGGCAACTTGAGAAGTTCTGAACCACAACAACTTCATGGTACCCAAAAAAGCAAACACTGCTTTTCTACCTTTGACTGAGGAATAAAGTAGTAGGTTCTCCAGAAGGGCCCTCTACACATCAAGACTTTGTATAAACACCTTGACACTGCTAATGCTGGCATACTTCCACTGTTGTCAGTAAAGGTGGGTTTCCCATTTGGGATCATCTGACAAAAGGTTGTCTCATTCTGTATCTGCCTGGCCTGCTTTAAGCCCAACTGAGCTACAGACAGATAAAAACACCAGAGTTCTGTTAGTATTGGTAGCTCCAATGCTACGTACATTATTAGAGCTGTACTGATGATTAAATCTTTCAAAATAAAGGCAAATAGAATCCAAAAACAGCTCCCCACCCCTCTCCTTACCTTTCAGCTAGGCCCTACTGAGGACTTAAACTGAGCAGAAAGTCTTCCACTGCTGTCATTTAAGTCAGTTTCCTGCAATGTACCTCTGCAGTTCTGCAAACAGCTGCAGAAAGAGAGGGGTGGAAAGGCAAGCAGTAGACTTCCCTGTTTCAGTAAGTGCAATGCTCATTCTTGCAGGTATAAAAGGGCAGCATGCAGTCATCTATATAAAGAATGTTCTTCAGATGGGTTATGTATAACTCCGTGATGGCAAGGGTATCAAATGAAGGTCGAACATCAGAGACCTTTAGGCACTTACGAAATATGACTCATGGATTAGTTAACTGCCTGTCAGATTTTCCATTATAAAACTTTAACCACATTCCATATCTGCACAGAACCAACCAACACCTGTAAAAGTACAAACAAACAAGTACTTATATATGCATTTGCACAGCAGTGGGACAGGAGATGTGCTTTGGTATCACAAGAAGGTTTTCTTCTTAATTATAAACTATTAACTAAGGAATAAAAATGAGAGGAAGAAAATGAAGACAATTCAATGGTAGTAAAAATAGTATTTTCAAGTGCACATTTTCCAAAGACTCTCCAAGATAAATCTTTAGAGTTCAGCTGCATCAGATGACTACAACCCCAAAATTCCTCTCTGCAGAACGTCATTTTTTTAGCCACAGTGTTTCCTAATCCAAGTGTTTGCTTTTTCAATTCCACATGCTGGCATGAGCAAAAGTGAAAAAGCAACTACTCCTGTTCTGAAAAATGTTTATTATTAAGTTTTGTAAGTATTAAAATACTTAGTTAAAAATGAAGACATTACTTTTCATTTTCAAAATCAGTGAGAAGTCTCGGCCATCAGACCTTGATACATCTCTCAGAAGCCACTGTATCTTATTGTTCCAAGGTGTCTGTAAATTCAAAAAGGCAAAAGGTGTGCTCTTAGGATTCCTAACAGGAAGTGGTGCTTTTGACCTATGCGTCATCAATTTAATGAACTCAACATGTGACTTTCAGCTCGTCTAATTTTAGACGTCTATCTCGACATCTGCTGCACCATTGACACTTGACTAAGGTATGTCTTATCTGATCTGGTTTAGATATCTACCTTAGGATGAGATGATTCATCCCCTCAGAGTGTGATTTTTCTTTCCAGTGGCTGTAACCCTGTCCTGGGCTCTAGCTAGGCTAGAGAGCCTTTATCTATAGCCTTTATCTACAGCTGATAAAATGAGCCTTGCCTGAACGAACGTTCTGCCTCCTCAGAGTCGGTAATTTGTGTTGAATGAGTTGGTTACCACTGTTGCTACTGGGATGTTTTGTCTGTATCACAAAAACACTACCACATCTAGCACAGACAAATCATAATAGTCTGAAACAGCCTAGAGGCTAACGACTTTAGAGGAAATCCCAAACACTTAGGTAAATTTCAACACCACATAATATTTGTGCCTCTAGAGATGTTCCAGATCAGAAGTTAGGTATGGAGTTCTCACTACACCTACCACTGTGGCATCTAACCCGTGAAGACAAAAGTCTCAGTATCCATGCCTGTTAGTCAGGTCAATTCATAAACACTATTTCCAGGCAAGTGTAAAGCTACTGCTCTGCTGGAAGTTCAGAAGATGTGGACTATAAGACCTATGAAGAATGATTTAGTCTTGAAAAGTCTGAGAAGAGGCAAGATGCCATTACACAAATATATAAAACAAAGTTGCAAAGAGGAAGGAAATAAGCAACTCTTCCTGTTTACTATGAGTAGCCTAAAAAGCAATGAGCTTATAGTACAAAGATGATTAAGTTAGCCTAAAGAGAAGTGCCACACAACAAGAAGCCATGCAGCCACTCCTCTGAGCTAACAGAAGCACCATGCTTCTCCCAACCATGGGTTGGGAGCCCTCCCCCAGCTTAGGAATGCAGTTGTACTGGAGATCCAGTTTGAGAGCATCCATGCGGAGTAAAGGGACATTTCTAATCTTAAAGCAGCGTGATGGACTAGGTGTTTCACCTCCCCTCTAACTTACATGATGTGTTAGTTGCAAAGGGTGTGATGTGTGAACTGAAGCCTAAGCGTTATAACCTCTTGCAACGGAGTGGACCAGAACACTAGCTACATCAGCTGCACAGCTGGCCAAAGCGAGCAAAAGGGTTGGAGGGTGGTCTTGGAAGAACTCATGTGGGGAAAAAAAAAAAAAAAAAAGAAGACAGTTAAAAAAAAGACAGTTTTCTCCTAACATAAAAAGAATTATGACTTTTTCCTCTGCAGCAATCACAAGAGAGATGACTGAAAAAAGATTATACAGCTGAGTGCTCCTTTTTAATGCTCCTTCTATAGGAAATACTTGCAACACATGTAGAAAATATCAGGGATGTGAGGAAACTTGAAGAGGCAAAAGTGACTTTATTTAAAATAAGAACTGAAACAAAACTCACTACCCCCAAGTAGGTACCCAAAAAGTCCAGCCACAAGCCGGTGTACTCAAGCCATCCACCCAAACCCCACCACCATTAAGACTGTGTCCAGATCTGTTGTGAAGGAGGAGAAAGAACGCCATCCATCAAAATCCTCATGTGTCCTGGGTGAATTCTTAGGCTGGTTGCCGTGAACAAGGCTTGGACATCCTTTTGTGTCTTTTCAGAGCTGACAGTATCTCCATGCAGCCACAGCTCCGGGAGCCATCGGGACTAATCACTCTTCTTTGTCTCCAAATCCGTCTTTGTGAAGCAACGGGTAGATGCCCCGGGGTCTCGATGACCTGCTAATCAGGTGTCATTAACACAAGCATTCAGAGCCCTTTCTGCTGGGCGCTCCTAGTGGGGCCTCCACCCCCAGGCCACCCCACTCCTCACCCCAATATGAGCCTTTCCAGTTATCGTTATAAATCTCTGTACCGCTTTCACTCCCTCGCGGCTGTTGGAAACCCCTCGGTGGCCGAGGGACACGCGTGGGACAGGAACGGTGAGGGAACTAGGAAGGGAGCCTTCGCCCTTTCTCTTGAAGACCAGCACTGTATTTGGCTCGTGGGCCCTCGAGGCATTTAGAAAGGGTAATTGGAAGAGAAAGAAGTTTACAGAAACCATATGAAGAAGCACTAGTGCCTTCTTCAAAGTATAATATTAATGCTGCTTAATATAGGAGCCGTCTTGACTGGGTGCCTATTTGGATTTAGATAATTGCTAGCTTACCAGTTCAAACCAGTTCAAAATGAGAATGCACAGCATCCAAGATTTACTCATGTGCCTCTCGGTTTTTTTTTTTTTTGTTTTTGTTTTTTTTCCCTGCTGCTGAAGTCTGCCTCGTTTCATCTTCCTTCATCTCCTGTTACTTTGACCCTGCCTACAGGAGAAAGATAGACTTGTAAAACTGCAAGTTGTTCATAAGCCAGTACAGTCCAGGCATTCATGGAGCGATCAAAGAGGGGCAATAAGTGGACATGTATGACTTTTTTCATATTGGGTAAGACTATAATCTTATTTATCGATTTTGTAAAAGGCTGTGTTTTTTAATATTTAACCTCTGTCCCATGGATTATGTCTTCTGCTGAGGTGAAGACCCCGACCTGCCATTTCTTCCCATTTGGAGGGCACAATCCACAGAAGAAAGCGCTGGACTCTCTTTGTTCTGGTGTAGCTTTGCAAGTTCTTCCTGATCGACCTGATCTAACTTGAAATAAGCCATTTATATTCCTGCAAAGGAATACCAGGTTATCCACATGGCCTTTTGCCCAGGCTTAACATAATTCCTTTAAGACAAACTGCAAATGAATAGTCGTGCAGTTTTCCTGTGCAGGCAAGCCCTTAATCTAATTGGAGCATGGAAAACAGCATTTGAGAAGGCAAAACAGTGTGTAGACTTGGGGAATGAGAGCGGGAGGTAATGTAAGGTGGTGTCCACTGGGGCTGATGGAGAGATCTGAATGCAGAAAGCTAAAAGTGATTAAGGTTTTTAAAATCCGAACTAGCAAGGATTACAGGGATATGAAAAATAGTACCTGAGCCTGAACTTTTCCATGTCCCAAGAACTTCCATCTTCCTTTTGTTTTGAAATGCACTGGGTTCTGACAATGCTAAACCTGCATCATATAGGTAGTGCTGTCTCTCAGTATTAACTATTTAAAAATAGAGCTCTCCCCTAATAAGGAGTGCTAGCAACACTGGGCATTCCTCAGATAGCTGAGGCCATGGCTGCTTAACAGGAACACTTTTGGCAGCTGCATTATGTTGCACAACCACCACCTTCAAAGGTCAAAGCTTGTCAGGTGTTCACACCTGTCTGCACCAGAGGGGAGAACACTGGCAAGACACCTCCTTAAAATGCCAGGAAAGATCTGACCCATCCCATACAAGCAGTGTGACCAGGGCAAATCCTCCACAGCCACAAGAGGCACGTGGCAGACTGAGAGACTCACTGGTGCAGTGGGGATGTTTAGCTGAGGTATGGGCCTGAGGCTGGAAATGAGGGACTGGATGTTTCACCAGGCTCTGGTCTGGGTACTAGCCAGCAGCAATTGCAAGGGTTGAGCATAGCTTTTTTTCAGGCCAGCCAACAGATGTGTCAGGAGCCTACAGATCTAAAACTAACTAGTATTTTTGCTCTTTCCACTGTTCACCCATACTTTCCTTCCCCCTTCCTTCCCTTTCAGTGTCAGCCTTGTGCAGCACTCAGGTCACCAGCTCCTGGGCCCTGACCCCCCAGCTCAAGTAATATCTGCTGTAGGCCGGAGCTGCAAGCAGCTCTTAGAGTGATGCCCTAGGGAAGCACTCAGCATGAGGATGGAGATAAAAGCCATGTGAAGTTCATGAGATCATTCTTCTCTGTGTCTGATCTGAGCGTAACAGAGAAAATAGGGACAAAAACTACGCTTGCACTTCTTCAGTTCCCACAGACACCAATGACTACTTACTTGATCGTGTCTCTAAACTATTGCAGAAAAGAAAAAAGAAGACTCCACCAAAGAAAAACAGAAAAGCATCACAAGCTACTTCAGACAAGGACTAGCATATGCTTGAACTGCTAAAGTCCTCTCCTTATATCCCTATTTCTACGGTAATAGCTTGTAAATCTGATTCTGTATATTCTTTCTGTGAACAGTCTCTGCTTTCTGTAAACAGTCTTTTGTGGTTTTTCATGGCAAGATGTGAACACCTTTGAAGTTTTCAAACTGGTTTCAGGCATCTTTGCAGGGATCAATCTGAATCTGCTCTTCATCACGTCTTCCCCAAGTCATTATGTACATAATATTGGCCTCAACTTTCTATCAGCCTCTACCTGTCTGGGAAAGGAGGGATATGAGGGGAGACTGCAAGGCTTAGATGGCAATAGACTAACCAAAGAACAGAGAAACTCTTCATGAGATTATCTTTTAATTCTTCATATAAGTTAATTTTTTTATGTAAGTTAAATTCATAAGTTAAATTCTTCTTAAGAATAAATTTAGAGGTGTACTCAGCATAGGTAGTAACAGAACAAAGTGCTGCAGCATGATGTGGAAGATTTGGTAAATATGCTGTCAAATGCTGTCCAGCTTAGTAATCATTTTTTTTTTTTTTATTAGCAACTTCCTTCATTTGTTGAAGTAAGATTCTGTATCAAAACAGAGAGAGGAAAGACGGACGGTGCTAAAACACCTGATGCAGTTTATAGGCAACAGAAGACTAAACAGATTTTCTTGAAATGTCCCAATTTCCCCTCTAGGTCTGTGTAATGCGTACTTCAGGGCATACCTACCCTGAGAAAGTGTGGGTAAGCATCCTTCACTCTCCTGTCTGCCCCTGCCCACCCAGAGAACAAGGCTGTGGCTCTGCACAGGCTCCCTTAGAGCAGTGCCAGCTGCAGCAGCTCCAGGTCTCCGTCTAACTTGTTTGGGACTAGTTACCTCTGCTCACGTTGGACTGACATGGGGTTTGCATAGTCACTTCAAACAGCTGATTTATTTTAGAGATTAGACTGAGCTGGGGGTGCAGAATGAGGTAGGGACTATCTAAACTGATAATGTCAGTGAAAGAAATGCTTGGATTAAGTGTACCAGCTTTGCCCTGTGTACTGCGTAAAGGCATGTATGGCAGGAAATGCACTCCAAACTAAGGGAAGTCACCGACTATGAAACAATATCCCACGGGCATTTCTCTGGGCAGCAGAGTTGACTTGTTTTTGTTTTTTTTTTTCCTGCTCTTACAAACAAAGTTATTTTAAGCTCAGATCAGCTCCTTCATTCACAGTACTGGCCAGCATCACTAGCAGCTACATTGGGACAGTCACGGGGACACCTTGAGGGCAGGAAAAAATGGCAAACTGGGAACTGCCTTCATTAGTACTGCTCTGTGTGAAAAATCTGAAGAACAAGCCTCCAAAATGTGAGGAAACAGAGAAGGCTCCCTAATCCAGTAGATCTGGGCTTGTTTTGAAGTTTGAGGAGTGGTACCACGTTAAAAAACGCTTTTAAATTTCATTCCGCCTGAGAATTGCTTTTGCATGCATTATTTAAAACTTCTCCATCAGTCAAAGATGTTTTCTGGCTGCTGCTGTAGGTAAATTTAGAGTTTGTAGTGAAGGCTTCATTAATACCATATCAACAGTTGCAGGTGCTTTTTCTTTTCATGGTATTGCTCTAAATGTGTAAGACTAACTTTTGTTGCCCAAAAATGTCCCTAGAAATTTGAGAAGTGATTATCAGCATTAAAAAATTACGCTATTAGAGACAGATATCTGATATTTCTGAGACAGATACACCACTGAGAGAAGACTGGTTCTTAGTCGTTTTGTTAAAAACAGTCCTGGTTTTGGCTGGAATAGAGTTAATTTTCTTCCTCTCTTCTGGTACAGTGCTGTGTTCTGAATTTGGGATGAGAAGAATGTCGATAGCACAGCGATGTATAAGTTGCTGCTGAGCAGGCTTCTGATGCTGCCCTGCCAGAGAGGAGCTGGGATATGGAAGAAGCCAGGAGGGAATGCAGCCAGGACAGCTGACCCAGACTGCCCAAAGGGATGTCCTGTACCAGGTGCTGTCATGCTGAACTACAGAACTGGGGGAGCTGATGGGGGGACTGACAGTATTCAGGGACTGCCTGGGTATCAGTTAATGGGTGGTAAGCAACTGCATTGTCTGTCACTCATTTTGTGTGTATTTGTATTATTTTCCCTTCATTTTCTGTCCTATTAAATTGTCTTTATCTCAACACACAAGCACTATTTTTTTTTTCCTGATTCTCTTCCCTATTCCACTAGGAAAGAGTGAGCCTGGATGCTGCTGAGCTGCCTGCAAAGTTAAACCATAACAATATTCAGTTTCTGTTTTGTTTTGTTTTGTTTTTTTTTTTAATTGCTCCACCAGTTTTCAAATGTCACTCTACCTGGCCAAAGTTGTTCAAAATCTTCTGAAGCAAAAAATGCACTGCAGCAGAATTTATATTAGATCAAATAAAGTCAGAAAAAGTATTCCACCTATTCTCTATTGAAGGATTCTCATTATCAGTCTCTCTCCCTTGTCTTCAAGACACTGCTGTGTTTGTGCACTTCAGGTTGGGGTTGCCTCGGGTCAAACACTTGTTCTGAACTCTGGGAAGAAGAAATAAAAGAAAAAGGAAAGGAGCATGTTCTACTGTGGATGTGGAGGGGGTAGTGATCATGTTCTTAAAGCATGTGGGATAGAAAGAGGACACTGCAGAGATCAGAGGAGTCTTGGCAAGATGAACGTAACATCCACAACATGGCAATGGACTGCCCAGTGAAACAGATAAACATGTTTTTACTCTCTAGCAATAAGAGAGATGGAAGTTCGTGGCAAAGCCAATAGTTCTAGTGGAAAAATCAATAGAAAACAATAGCACCTATCTGGAGCACCCTGTCCCATGTCTGACTAGGAAAAGGATGGGTGAGATACCTCATGTGTCCCATCATCCCAACAGAAGTGAAACATACATGATGATACACATACAGATAACAGATACTTCTGGCTGACAGAAGTAGAAGCTGATGTGGGATGGAGTGCAGAGAATATCTACATGTGACCTGTTGGTAAGTTTCAAAACAGATAAGAAAATTCATGTATGCAAACTCAGTGTCCATCAGCTTTGAGGAAGAATACTCTAAAATGCAGCTACAACTTTATAAGCTTTGCTCAATTTATATCCCAGACTGGTTGGTAATCATGGATACCACTTAACTAATGCATGGCAACTATCTCCTGAGTACTCAGAAAGTTATATCTCTAGCTGTTCTGAGGACAACAACATTGCCTTTGAGAATGAATAATAGAAAAGGTTCTGTAGGTGAGGATATGGCAAACCTAGAAGTCCTGCTGGGACTTAAAATTTGAGTGTCCAAGTACTCTGTCTGGAGCAGCTTTGTTTGAATCCATCAACAAAAACTCAAGTCAGTTTAACAGACACTGAACAGGATTTGTGAGGACTCCAGTGTTAGCTGAGTGCTTTACTCAGGTACTTGTTAGCTTCCTCTAGCAAATTGTCTGAGTCGGCTGCAGGAGAATAAAAAGTGAAACAGAAAATACATAGTCCTGTCTAATGAGGATTGTAAAACTTGAAGACAAAGGAAAAACTAACTTCCCCAAGCAATGGAAGCGCTTGCGTGCCTGCAGCACAAGACTCCAAGGTTGTAATTTGCTCTGCCTTGGGTAGACTACATCAAAACACACCTCCAGCACAACACAGCATGACACACACACACACAGGTCCCCCTGCTATCCCATCACTCCCTCACATTTTGTAAATGATGGAGGCATGTGGGTTCACTTGCTTTCCTGACTGGAAGGCCAAGATTGGAATTACTATGATGCTTCTAAAACTTGTACAGTAAACAAGAATTAGTTAATGGTATTTTCTAGGGCGTATGAATGATATCAAACAATACTGTTGTTTACAAAAGCTTTGCAAACATTGTATGGACGTGAGCATTACCAAATTGTTAAGAACTTAAAACTGCCTGTAAAGTTGTAAGAAAGAAAGAAAGAAAGAAAGAAAAAACAACAACCAAGACTTACTTACTTGAAATTTGCTTTAGAAAAACAAAACAAAACAAATTTGGGCCTAAGGCCAGTAGCAGATTTCTTTATAATGTAGTGGTCTTTTTTTTTTTTTTTTTCATCTTTTTTTTTTTTAAACTGATCTCAGGCAGCCCTGTTGACCACACCTGCAAGCATTTAAATTATATAAATAGGTGCATCTGGAGACAAACATAGGCTTAAACCTTTAAGTCTGAAGCCGTAGCTGACCACGGAAACATTAGGGAAGACCTAAGCAGAAAAATGGTAATTGTTTTCTGTAAAGATAGTTTGTATTGTACAGTATTGGCTGTGGGTTTGTTTTTGTTTTTTTTTATGAGGAGTATGCGTGTTCTTTTAAGGGTTTGTTCACAGATGCTTAAGCCTTGTAGGGTTTAACTGGAACAGATGACTTAGACTTTGAAGCCCAAACTTCAGGAGCAACTATGTGGATGAACTTTGTAAGCAGGAAAGACTAAGTAAAGATAGATTACTTTTTTTAGTTTTCATGTGTGAATACTGCAAAAAGGTTTCATTTTGCTTTTAAATCCCACAGTGAAACTAGCTGAGATTTTTAGAACAGATATCTTCCTTCTACTTTTTTTTTGTTGTTGAAAGAGGCAGGCTGCCAAAGAGGAGAAAAATAGAGGAGTAATTGCTATGTTTGTATAAAGGACAAACAAATCTTATTTCCTTTGCCCTGTGACCTTATAGCCTGAGGTGTCCTGATAATGTAACACGCTTGTCAGTACTTTACTGACCCAAATTTAAGGGAACAGCTCGAGTGTTATTGTGTCACCAGGCTGTAATGTGATGGATAGAGTACTGGAGGTGTTTTCTTCTTTTTAAGCAGTGAAAAGGAGTCTGGATGGTTATTATTTGACTGGTGTTTTACAGGCTAACAGTAGGCTTCTGCCTTGATGAGGGCAAGGTGGAGCCTTCTGAGGTTATAATGGGGTAACTTGATAAAAGTCACTGCATACTGATGACCTTGGCATATTACTGAATCTGACAGCTTAACAAGGCTTGTGAGGAAGAAAGGTGGTATCACAGTAACTAATGCTGACCCCCGACCTCAGCACGTTGGGGTGGGTAGCTCAGTTATGTGCTACCAGGCAGTCAGTGTGATTTAACACTGTACAGACCAGCAGGTGCAGCCACAAGTTGGTGTGTGGCACACCAAAGGGGTTTAGCGTTGGAGAGATATGAGGCCAGTTTACCTAGTGAAGCAGCCCCTCCCCCGCCGACTGTTGTCCCCCCTTCCCGGTCCAGGTGACACTCAAGCCGGGAAAACACCACAGCGTGCCATTACTGGATCCTTCCTCCTTCCCACGCCCCGCTCAGGCCCGGCAAGGCGGCCCTGCGGCGCCTCCATTAGGACCTGCGCCACTGCACAGGGGCAAGCGCACAAGATGGCGGCGGGCGCCGGCAGGGACGGCCACGTGACCTAGAATCCGACTCCTTCTAGAGACATCTCAGAGCGCGCGCAGCGGGCGCTCTCGCGAGCATGCCGAACAAAAGGAGGGGGTTAGAGGCAGGGGGGCGCCGCGATCTCGCGAGAACTAGCGGACGCCCCTCCAGGGAGAGCAAGACGTGGGGGAAGAGCGGGCCGTCAGCAAGAAACCTCGCGGTGTCGCCGCCGGAATCCCAGAGAGTCCGGCGGCCCCGGCGCGCGAAATCTCGCGACATCGCCGGAGCTCCCTTCGTCCAGATCTAAGCTATAGAGACTCACGCAGATCTCGCGATAACTCCCCCTCCTTTCGCCGCCGGCGCAGCGCGGTCGGTTTCTCTCGCAACAGCGCCGCGCAGGAGCAGGGAAAGGGGGGGGCGGGGCGTAGCGTGCGCGCTGAGGTCAGCGCGCGCCGCCGGGCGGGCGGGGACTATATAAAGGCCGGGGCCGAGGCGGGGGGTGTTCAGTCAGGAAAGCGATTCGTGGTGAACGAGCGGCAGCGGCGGCGAGTTCCCGGCCCGGCGAATCTGAATTTCTTGAGGCGGAGCGGGACACCCCGAGACGATCTCTCGTTATGAGTCATGTGGCGGTGGAAAATGCCCTCAGTCTAGACCAGCAGGTGAGGGACGGGCCCCGGGAACGGGCCGGGAAGTGGGTGGGGGAGGGGCGCTCCGTTAATCGGGATGTTGGGGGGGGGGGGGGAGGAGGAGAAGAAAGGCGGGGGGGCGGCGGCGTGCGTTGTGAGGGGCGCACGCGGGGCTGGCTGTGCGATCAGCGGCGGCTGCGTCGTGATTTTGTTTTATTGCTCTCTTTCCTCCTCCCCCTCCCCCCCTGGTGTATTCTCGGGTGCCCCCCCTCCCCGCGCGGCGCGGGGGGTTTGTGGCGCGTTCGGTTGTTGCGCAGTTCCCGTCGTGCGGCCCTTTTTCCCCGCGGAGAGTCGGGGGGAAGGGGGGGTTGGGGGGGGGGGGGGACGGCCGGCCCGCCAACAGCACCATCACCACCAGCACCGGGCGGGAGGAGCTACATCCCCGCGTGCCCCTGCGGCCTCCTCCTGGCCACGCTCCGCTCCCGGCTTTTGTGTGCCGGGGAAGCGACGATGGTAACGCGGCGGGACCCCTGGCGGCGGCGGCGGGGAACGGCTGCGAGGAAAGGGGGAGGAGGGGGGTAGGGAGTAGGGAGGAGGCTGGCTCAATGGCGGCCATTGTGCGTGTGACGGAGCCGGGCGGGGGTGGGGGCGCTTTGTGCTGGCGCCCCCGCGGAGGGGGGGGTGGGGGCGGGGAAGGGGGGGCGCTCGCGGCCGCCTTTGTTCGGGCTGCGGCAGCGCGGCCCCGCGGCGGGCGCCTCGCCCGCTCCTCCCGGTGGGCCCCGGTGACGCAGTTGCGCTCGGAGCGGCGGCGCTGCGCGGGCGGCTCTCGACCCCGCGGTGTTGTTGTGCTTTTTTTTTTTTTTTTTTCTTTTTCTCCTTACGTCTTCCATCTTCCCTTCCTCCCCCCCCCACCTGCGGGGCGGAGTCAGGCCCCTGCGTGGAGCTGGGGGACGGATAGTTACCTAACCCTCAGGGAAGCGGGGGGGTGGGGAGGAGACCGCGGCTCTGTAGCGGGGCCTCGAGCGGGCACGGAACGGCAGAAATAGCCCTCGGAGCCTGGAGGGTTTCGGGCAGCCACGGCTCTGGGGCGAAGTAGGTCAGGGAGCCGGTTCCCTCCCCTTTCCCTCCCCCCTTTCCCCCCCCCTGGAGATATAGCACGTGACGGGTGCCGGCAGCCGGATTAGTTGGGCGGGCTGCGGCTGCTCCCTGCTGCGCCGAAAATCCCAGCCCGCAGTGCCGGCTGCACCGCCGCACTGAGATGGCGGCCCCGGCCCTGCGCCATCTCCCAGAGCTGCCGCGCTGTGCGGGGTGTGCGCCGGCCATCCTCTCATCTGCCCGCTTCTTCCTCCTTATACCCACGGTTTGCTTCTTACTGAATCCCCCAGGAAATATTTTTACCTCGTTTTGATGCTGGGATCAGATAAAGAGCAGAAGTAGCTTTTAGAGAGAGTGATCCAAGGCTCCTCATCGGAGGATTTATTTCAAGAATTCGAATAATAGCGTGCATAATAGAATCAGACAATCGTTGAAGTGGGGAAAGACCTTTAAGATTATCTAGTCCAACCATCAGACTGTCACCACCGTGCCGGACATCTTGAAGGATGATGTTTGATTTGGATTGACTCCAGTTGCGTTGGAAGATGTGCAGTGCAGTTGGCCTCGCATAAAATTCAGTTGTTTTCAAATGTATTTCAGCTCCGCTAATAAGTTCTGCATTGTGCCGTGTATGTAAACAACTACAGTAAGCTGCTGCTTTATGTGCGTGGATTGCCTTCTGCTGACCTGAATGCGCTTAAACTGAAACACGCTTTGGTAGGCTGAAGGCTGCAAACAAAGCTTGCAGAAAGCAAACGAGAAGTTGTATTTGCCAGGAACAAGGGTGGGAGGAAATGGCCTATTGTCCTGGGAGCAGAAACTGCTTCTGACATGAAGATGCTGATGTCTTACTCATGTTAATGCAATCAAAAATTTAATTCTACAAATGAAGCAGTAGCAGTTGGGCACTTGAATGATTGTATTAATGTTTCAGAAAGAACCCCGAAAAACTTGACCTCAGTCAAAATGCATTTCAGTGGACTGGGAGACCATTTTAGGTCCTGCTCAGCCCTTATTTAGTGCACTAAGCAAGTCAGAAGTACTTGATTTCGTGGGTATACAGTAGTTTTCAGGCCTTGCTGGCTTTTTGGTGGGTGTTTATTTGTGGCTTTGAGGACGTCCAAAGATGATACTTAGTTCTACTGTTACTGTGGTATTGAACATTACAGTATTGGTCATTCTCCTTTACAAAAAACATAACAAAAATAAATTCCTTTGCAGCATTCACTTCTCAGAAATCTGCTCTTGATCTGCAAATGAGCTTTTTGCATCTTAGCTTAAATTCATGATGTAACACGTTGATATTTACTCAGCTATTTTATTCTTTCCAGTTTTCTGGTCTAGACTTGAATTCCTCAGACTCCCAGAGTGAAGGAACCGCTACAAGCAGTAAGTACATGCGAGTTCTTAAAGCGTGTAGGAAGTTTTTTAAAACAGGGAAGGCTTTGGTACCTGCAAAAGTAATCTTTTCATCAAGATGTACAGACTTTGGGGAAATGCAAGGAGGTTACTAGTTACTTGCCTGCTTTAAAATTACATATTTCAGACAGGAACACTTAATTTCAGTGATTGTGTAACTTGAGTGTTTTGGTAGTGCTTTTAAGTACTGAATCAATTTGAGAGAATCCAGATTCCCAAATTTTCTGTGGCCTCTGGTCAAACAGCTGAGACCAGTAACTGTAGTAATAATTTGGTGACCTGGCTTACCAAAACATTCAGCTAGTGTTGCAGCGTCAGAGGTAAAAATTTTTAGTGGTTACCTGCTCTAACTGAGATTTGTTAGGTAGAAACAGCACTTATCTGGCATGCCAGACAGACTGCAGTATGTTAAGAGGAGAATCTTCAGGGAGATCCCATTAAGCACGTGCTTGCTGCATTCTGTTTTATGCTGCTTAACAATCCAGATGCTTCTGGATTGTAAATGAAGAATGCTATTCAGAGGCAATTGCATGTGGCTTCTGGTTAGATCTAAGCTGAACTGAGTGGGATGGTTAGGTCAAAGGGAAGGAAAAATACTCACAGTAATACTGTGAGTACCAGTGTTGGAATAGCATAGTTGAAAAGGCTGTTATATACTGCTTATAACTTTATAGATAACATTATCTTTAACACTGTCTTTCTTTTGTTCTCCAGAAGGCAGATACATTCCTCCTCACTTAAGGAACAGGGAAGCTTCCAAACAGGGTATGTATGAGAAATAGAGGCAGTGTTTGTAACTGATTGTTTGAGGCGTTAAAGGTTTTTTGGCACTATTGTTAAAAGTGACTCTGCAGGCTACTCGACTCTTTGGCACAAAACACCAACTTTGCTGCCTATTTTCAGTGTGCTGCTGTTGGTTCCATCTCCAGGTGATGTTCTAAGCTTGAGTTTGGTGTTTGATAGGCAAAATGTCTTTGTTATCTTATCAAGCATGTAAGTGACAGAAGCAAGTTGAAGACTATTTATCTACCATTGTAATCATGAGTATAAAATACTAAACTTCTTTGGAAGCACCAATTTTTATTTTATTGACTGATTTGAAATTTAGAGTAACTAGTTACTATGAGCAAATAGCACAGTTTTGCATCATAAATGGATGCTCTACACACACATTAGTGTGGGAGGAACAAAACAATTACAGATGTTGCCTTATAATGGAAATCTGCAAAAGTGGTTGCAAAAAGCAAGATGGAATGCTGGAGTATAAAACATGAAATGCTTGAACAGTGTTTTTGTACAGAAGGACTGCACTGAAAAAATCAAACTTTTTACTTTTAGGATAAAAGACGATAAAGTGTTTCATGGGGTGCTTCAGTGCAATAATGACCTCTATTTTGGAGAAAGATTTCAGAGCTTTGTAGTTTGTATCAGATACAGTGATAATGTATTGTGTAGATAACAGTTGCTAGAGGAAATGTTCTTTTAAATAGACTTCAGATAAACTGAAGTGTTGTACTATGCTACAAATTGAAGAAGTCATAGAAACTTCTCATAGCTTGAATTTTAAACCTCGGACCTTTAAAACAATGGGACTTTGAAAGGTTGTCTTTATGGTGCAGGTCTCTCCCTTGAAGGAGCGGGTAGGAGAGTATTGAAATGCATGCTGATACCTTCTGAAGTTCTTTTGGAGCTGCTTAATGACTAAAACAAATATTCTGCCACTTGAAGAAACAGATTAGAAATGTGAAGATGGAAAAGGGAACTTTTAATATTGAACAGGCATTAAATTGGCCTAAGGCACTAATTGATGTGAACAGGCTGTAACAAGCTGACTTAGGTGGGGAGAGAGCAGGGAAGCTTTGGAAGCACAGTTCTCTTGAAATTCTGAGTAACTTAAGTCTCAAATGTGAGCAGCCTTGGAGGAAATCTCATAGATCAACCCAGGAGGAACTTTGTTTGCAAGAAAGGAGAAACAAAAATTCTGGGGAACACTGGATACAGAGGTATTTTCATGTTGCCTTGAGCAACATGATATGTAAAAACATCCATATTAAGAGCTGCTCTCAAAAAAAAAAAACCTACTTTGAAACAGAGACCATCTTGTTTTGCTAGATATTTGAACTCTACAGTGTACAGAGTTCTCCTTTGAAGTAAGAGAAGCATGACTGTTGCCCTTTGTATCTGACTGACTTGAAGATCATAGGAGTATTCATGGTGTAACTGGATTTTTTTCATTCATGCCATTCATTTGATAATGTAGGCACTAAAATG